ATGAAAGCTGTAAACTGCTGCACCCTACGCTTCCTTAGTATATGCATTTTAATTTTTGCTGCTGAGAGGTAGGGGGGAATCAAGTTGATAACAGAAAATGCAAATTTTGTAGTAAGCAGAAGACACTGTCTTTGTACATACATTATTGTTCAAACACAGTAGGGCTAGCAGTATATTTGGATATTGAGCTGAAAGGGCTAATTAGTATTATATATAATATAATATATATTATGGATAAATACAGTATCTAATGCTGTCTTTGTACCGTACATTCTGAGTAGAATCTCACCTTAACAAGCATTCACTCTTCCCAAGAGAAAATAATTCGGAGGAGTGTTTTTGGTGCTCACTCAAATTTCCAATTTTTCTACTGAAAAAAAAATTTGAAGAAAACTTGGGGGTGGAAGAAAACCTTTTCCCCCTTAATTTTCTGGAGGGGGGGGTGCTCTTATATCTCTCGTAAAGGTAAAAATGGATCCCAGTAAAATAGAGGCTGCTTGTCCTTAGCTATTGTTTGTGCTTTCCTAATTCTTCAAAAGTTGCAGGATGCGTTAACTGTGGATATGCAGTATTATAAGCCTTCTCTTTTGTTCTCCTGGCTTCACTCCAGCTGCTGCGTTTTCTCAGAAAAACACATTAACAAAATCATTTTTGAAAAAAGCAGTTCAGTATTGGGTAAGTAAGTTTTGCTGTTAAAAGGAATGGAAGAGAAAAATGGCTGGAAAGGAGTTCTTATGAGCTCAATAACAACTGTGGGAAAAGCCATATCAGTGTAAGAGTGGTAAGGAAGGGGAGAGGATTTTCAAGGGCTCACTTATTCAGAAACCTGAGAAAACAGTCAAGTGCATTTGTACATAAAGAGAGATCAAGAAAAACAAACGTCCAAGGCCAAGATCCTTTCTTACACCTAAAATAAAAGGGTCCCAGCTCCTCATAGAACATTTGATTTATGCATTTAAAATATTTATAATCCTGCCTTTCTCCTGAGCATTTCAGGACCACAGGCAGATAAGCACATGTCAAAAAACAGTTATGGACTGCTGTTAGGAACAAGAGGCTCCTCCCACATGCTTGTCAACTTCCTGTGTCCATTCAGTGAAAGAGCCGTGAGTATGCTGGTGCGGGCAGGCATTTGGCCATTATTTTGGTTGCCTTTGGTTCTGGCAGATATCCAGAAATGGTGGCCAAACTCTCGTGAGAAGAAGGAATCGCGCAGGAGTCTAGAAAGCAGCAAAGTGCTAATTTTTACGAGGCCCATGAAAGTAAGGAAGTAAGGAGGATTATTCCCGCTGCCGGACACCTCATAGAGCTGTCCTTGGATATGGGAAAGACACACAGATCTCCCATTTGCTGTAATGGCCTGGCACACTCAGTGCCCACCTGCATGTGTTGAGCAAATGGGATAGGGCTCTGTTATGCCTTGTCAAGATTCCTCCCTGTGAAGGAGACATACTCATAGGAAGGAAGGATCCTATATCCCTGCACCTTGCCTGTTTTTGCATTTGTGTTGCCTTTGTCCTAATCAGTAGCTGTGCCCCAATCAATACGGGAAGAGGATATTGGACTCTTTATGTCAGATTTCTGTGTATTTTTGGACCCTTTTTAATGTAGAGTTTTTGGCAGCCAAAGATGCTGAGAAGTTCAAGGGCAGGCTCCAAAACAATTGATCTGAAAACTGCTTCTTGAGCAGTTATATCACCAGAGCCTCACTCTGGTTTCTGAACATATAGACATTGTGTCTCCATTTAAGCAGCAGAGTACACATTTCAGGATTTAATGCTTGGTGGAGAATTTATTAGATTATGTTAGGTTTCACATTTTTCAATGAGATTCTGTCTTCTCATTCACTGTATTTTGGCTGACGTGTAAAATGCAGTTTTACATCACTCTAACTCAGAATTTGACATCTTGCTGCAAATGTCACATAGTTTATTCACATAGAATAATAGTATGTGGATTTGTTGTAGTGTAGGACTGCTTGCTTTCACAGAAAGTCTTAAAATATGCATAGATGCTTTCCCTCATACAGCTGTGAAGTCAGCATTTCTCAAGACTGTGACATAGGTTTGAAAATTTTAATGCTATGAGTCATTTCTCTTGATCTGAGGAGCTTCATGGGGAAATTCTATTTCACTTTTAAAAAATCTCTGCTGTACTGTAATACTTCCATAAAAGTAGTTTGAAGAGCCTGTTTTCATATGGCATCCAAAAAGCCACTTTGGAATAATTCCTTCTCTAATGTGCTGCTGCAAATGACATTCCGTGTAGCCATCACTTCACGGTCACAGATCTGTTGGAGCTGATAGTGGGGCTGGGGACCCCCACGCACACAAAAAAACACCCCACTGTTATGAAACAAGGGGGGAGATGGAGGAGGGATTGTGCAGAATTTGCGAATGTGACTCCTTGTGTTTTGTGGCCTTGGCAGCCCTGAATAGCCATGACTTGCCTTATCTCGTCAGATCTTGGAAGCTAAGCCATGTGGTTAGTACTTGGATGGAAGGCCAAGGTTGCTTTGCAGAGGAACGCATCTCTTGCCTTGAAATTCCCATACTCCTGGGGTCACTATGAGTGAGCTGTGACTTGAAATTCCCATACTCCTGGGGTCACTATGAGTGAGCTGTGACTTGATTGCACACAATTATTATTATTTTGTGGCCTTACAATCCCTCACTCACACTTCAAAATAGGCACCTTGGAGACTACCAAATTTATTCCAGCACAAGCTTTTGAGGCAGAGATGGCTTCATCTGATCACCTCTCAGGGAGCATTAATTATCAGCTCAAAAGCTTGCCTTCTATCCCCCACAATTCCCTTTTGTTAACTTAAGAAATAAATCAAGGAACCTTTAGCAGGGGCTCAGCTTTCTGTATTCCTGCAATGCTAAACTCAGGAGCAAAGGTGGGATATAAATAATTTAAAACAGTGTTATTCTGAATGGTTCCTAGGTTTCAAAGAAGCCAGGCCTAACCCGGCCTGCCATTCCAGGGCTGTAGTCTCCTTACACATGTGGTACCTGCAACCAGTACACCAGAAACTACAAAGCAAGGAAGGTGGGAAAGGGGATGAAAGAGGATAAAGAGGAGGCTCTTGTGTCATCAGAAGAGAGGCCAAGCCCCAGATCTGGTGTCACTGAAAATTGCAAGGCAGAATTCCAAAAGAACCCTTCAACAAAAAGAGAAAACTCTGAATCTTGGCTGGAGTCCTGGACCATCAGAGGATGAAGATGTTACACAGTATTAGTTAGAATACTTAACACAATTGAATAGCTAGAATTATATGTGCTGGACCGAAATAATACATTCATCTTTTCCGTTATATTTTATTATATTAATCTCCTGAGGATTGGGTATTGAACAATCATCCTCTCTAAAGCAGATGTTATACAATTAGCATAAAATCATAGCAGGTACAATACATCAGCTTAAATAGCTGTCAGGTAAAGCTGTATTAATGTGCATGCATAATACATCTGATGGGCAAAGCACTTTTTCTGATGAACGTCTTCCTTATTCAACAGGCAGAAATCTGTGTTGTCTTGCTAAAATGTTTTGTATTTCCCTTGTGCTTGGTAGCACAATAATCTGTGCATTTTAATGAGTTTAAGACAGTTGCTAATGAGAAAAATAACATCATACCTTGCCAAAAAAAGTAATGACTTTCTGAAAACAAAGTCATACTGGCTCTATTACATTTGACAACTCTGGGACCTCTTCTCTGTGTGGAAATACCTCTAGAACTCGATCTACATGAAATAGAGAATTGATGCAGTACATCATAACCCTCTCCTGTGTTACCTGAGAGCCAGTTAATAGGCTGGATCCAAGCAGCTTTTCCCTTGGGGGGAAAAGAGAGGATCCCTTTGGACTTCCACAAGGCTATACCCGGGACAATGTGGCCTGTGTGGACAAAAGCCGTGTGTGGGATGGTGGCTATAGTAAGGAGAGAGTGAGTGCAATTGAACCAGATGACCCAACAAGTTTCATGTAAAAGTAGGGATTTGAACCTGAGACTTCTCTAGATCTGAGTCTGAAACTCTTTAACTACTACACTAGACTGTTTTTAAAAAGTACACAGAAATATCCAGAGTACCAAATGCAAACAGAGCAGGTTTTGTGGAAGTGGTCTTTGCCGCAGGCAGTTTTCCTACGCAGCCCTTTGCTCCCCAAGAAGCAGGGGATGCAGCACACGGGCTTCCGTGGGAAGGACAGGGTGGCAAATCTCACTTTGATAATTCGCAGAATGTATTGTAACTCGACCCATTAATGACGGAATTGACCGGTTTGGTATTTTAGTAATTAAGGTTGTAAGGATTCTATGTTGTAGACTCTGTGTTGTAGTATTTTGGTCTATTTTGCTGGTCTTATGACTGTTTTTAATAAACTTGTTATAATACTTGAGTAATGCTTGTTATAATGCACCTTGATAATTTCACACCTTTCTTAGCTAGCTGGATCTAAGTTACTGTTTCTTCCTTTTTGTTTATGAACTTCTAATTACACTTTAAGTCTGAAAAGTTATTTTTCTTTTTCGTGGGGTCATACTGATGGACACTAAGGCTCTCTGTCTTTAAAAGTGCAAGTGTGGTACATGGGGCCCTAGTTCAGATTGATGCTGCATGGGGAGGGAAGAGAGGATTTAACCCTGCCCACCAGTTTATTCTCGCTCATCAAACTGGAGTCTTGCCCCATCTCCAGTGCTGCTCCTAGAACCTGTTTTTTTCTTCTTTAAAGAACTAACATTGTGTGTTTCTGTTAGTGAGGTTAGAACCTTCTCTGTACATAGCTTTTAGAGACCAACAGAGGTCCAGGATTTTTGTCTTAACCCTTAAAAGTCAAACACTGCATTTAATTTTAACTGCCTGAAAAAGTAGAGCAGACTTTCCTGCATGGTTCACATACTCTTCTGATCTAGCAGTTCTTAAGCTCTTTGCCGCCACTCTAGTTCATCATTCATTCCATCTGTGTCATGTCTGTGTGTCTTTTGTTTTTGTTTTTAGTTGAGGAACTGGACTGTGGAAGAACTTCAGAGGAGACTTGGTGCGCTTGACCCAATGATGGAGCAGGAGATAGAAGAAGTTCGACAGAGATATCAATCGAAACGGCAGCCAATTCTTGAGGCCATTGAAGCAAAGAAAAGACGCCAACAGAACTTCTGAGGAATGCTCACCAGTAGAATAGATTTCCATCACCCCTAACAATAAACTGTGCTTTTACAACTCTAGATGGATTTCTGTTTAAAATGTGTTAGCAAGGCAGAAGGCCAGCGTCTTTCCCTCTTTTTTACTGTAGCACCTTTTCAAACTCAGGAATGTTTTTTTAATGCCATAGTATGGAATCCTCATGAACAGGTAATGCTGCGTTTCAGTGTTTTATGTGTCTTTTAAGAGGTTGCATGTGGCTTCCGCCGAGCTTTGTTACTGTTTAGAGCTCGTTTTTGTCTTATGACTCTGAGGAACAGTTGGAAGTGGACTAATTAACACAGCTTCAGTCTCACTTTCGTTGGCTCCTCCTCTGCAGTTTTCAGATTATTCTGCACAAATGCATTGAAATGCTTTGTTTCTTTCTGAAGGTTACAAAGTGTGTAAAATGGTTTAACTTGAGGTGTTCTGTGAAAATGGAAACTCTGCATACTTGTATATCCACCTAAACTTGAAGTGGGGGGATGCATCATTTAACTTCTTCTCTCAGGGCCACCAAAAGTGAACACTGTATAATGAACTAACCCTGCTCTCAACTGTGCTCTACTACTGTTTGAATGGTACTGTGAACAGAATTCGAAAAGGAAAATAAAACTTCCAATTTTTATCCCTTCCAAAAGCCTATAAAAGCCCCATGCCTTATATTACCATACTTACTGCATCATAGTTCAAGATTATCATCTGTTTTTTCCCCCTCTATGTGTATACTTTGAGTGAATGCTGATACCTTAAGCAATTTCTTGGTTTTCTAAAAAATGTGAAACCAATCAGTGGCTGAACACAGTATGAATCCCACTTCCTGCCTGCAGCGGAAGAATGTCAAAGTGCTTGCAACTCAGGAAACTGGGAACTCTCTTGAGATAACAAGAGGCTTAAAATATTTAAGGAATTGTTAACTTTTATGAGCTTTGCTATTTTGAGCTTAATTTGTTTGTGGCTTGCAATGCTAGTTTAATTTAACTCAAAGTGCAGTTGTAGTTTCTTTTGAAGATTATTGGTTAAATTTAAAAGAAATATCTGTTGACCCAAAGGAATACCTTCAAATTGTAGATTTCTGAATTTCTTACCAATTACATTTGTTCTAGGCAGAGTCCACTAGGAACCCTGGTTGGGAAATTAAATGGGAAGTGTGTAGGAACCAAGCCTCCCACAATTCACATTCATTAGAGTAGAAATAGTACTAAAAGTTATGGTTGAATTGTGTGCTTAGTGTTAATTATGGCCTCTCTGAATTTCTTACCTTTAACACCCCCTCTCGTCCATGACCAAATTTTATGAAAATCACTGGCATGTCGGGACCAAGATCCCAAAAGGGTTTATTGTGTGTACACAGAGGACTCTGGCACAAGTACACTGTGATTTTTTCCTCCTCCAGTAGCATCTCATTGTGCATCATGGAATGTGGACAGTCCCCTAATTTTTTCAGTGATATCCCTTCAGGTATACAAATACCATTCCTGCTGCTTAAGGCCTAGAAGCATTTATTTGTGAGGGTGTATTCTATTAGACACTTGCTACAGCAGATTTCTCCTACTAGATTACTTCTCTATTTGAAAAATGCTAGATTGGTGAGGTCTGCCCAGGTACTTCCTGCTGTAGGACTCTTAGTCCTAAAGGAAGCTACATGTTCTGTTTTTTCAGTTGTAGTTTTAATAGCAGCTATTCCCTGTCTGTTTTTTAAACAATAGTTTAAATTGCTGGCTTTTCCCTTTCTAAGGGCACGTCTATTAATACCTTTGGCTTACACTGGAGTCCTAGAAAAAGCTAAACAAGGAAAAAGGCAGAGAAGGAATGCAGTTTGTGTGATGCAAGAAGAATCACTGAATAATAAACCACAGTACCTGTGTGTCTTTTGTAATGCCATGATGGTCAACTTCCTGGGGAAGCATGCATTCTGATAACTTCTAATATATTACAGGAATAACTCTGCAAACAAAGTTGGCAAATTAAAAAATAATCCTGCTTGCAAGGCAAGCAGCCTTTTTGAAATATTGGTGACTGTTGATGGCTGAACTCTCCAGCAAATCGTCTGGCATGAGGATTGTCAATGACCAGCGTTCTAATGTAACTTCCTAAAGCAGGGTCCAGATGCTGTCTGCAGTGCAGCTTCTTGTTCATGTTTGTTGTTCAAATAGGCTCATTTTTGCAGCCCGTTCTCCAATTCCCTTGCTGTAAAAGCAATTTTCACGTACACCAAAAAGATGGAAGGACCTTTAATAGTTAGCCATGAAGCAAATTGCTTCTAAAATGGGAGCATTTTGCCTCTGGTTAGGATGCTTATGCAGCATAATGTGACTCATACATGTACCAAGCCCGAGTGAATTGCTTTCACATAAAGGAGATGATGGCATATTTAGTTGGCAGTATTGCTTTCATAATACCATAGGTGCTACTATTTTTTTTTCCTTGATAGAGAAAGTGTCATGTTTTAGGTCTTATCTTGCTATCATACATGGGCATTGTTAGTGAGGAGGGGGTACCTGTGCTGTAGAAACAAAGGGGTGAGAAACCACAATGGTCTTAGTGACTTAGTTCTCCCCCCCCCTCCCAAAAAAATTGCATGAAAATCAGAATAAAATGCTAAACTTTTCCACCTGGGAGGAGTCCATGCATTAAACAAGCCAACTCTGTCATGTTCAGCAGCTTAACAATCGAGACCTCATTTTGCAATTTTCTGAAGGAATGTTAACATTTCATCTGTCACCCAGATTGTGATCTCAGAGACTAATCTCTTGAAGGAATGCTGTCCAATTTGAACTGCTTTTGGCAAGAATATTTATATAACTGGGAAAATCACATTCATGTGGTTAGTGGGTCCTTATTGCACTGCTCAAAGTATTCCAAACCAGCTGCCAAGATTTCCTTTTTGCGATCTGAAATCAAATGTCTGGTGTCAGTTACGCTGAGAGACTTAATGTGAACTTTAGTAGCTTTAATATTTTGTAATAAAAGAAGTTATACTGGTATGGTGTGCTAACTTGAAATCCTGTTTTGTAGAGACCTGCCTGTTTTGTATATAATAGTATGGGATCCTTGGTTTGTATATGTATGAAAAAAATAACTTTATTGCATTTCCTTTTTGAGTTTGATACAGGAGATTTTTGTTTGTTTTGGACTTTAAATATCTTTACCTTATTTGTTTAATAGGTCAAAATAAACGGTTCTGATAAAACTGTCTTATTGTGTAAAACCTCTTTTTACGGTGCAAAATGGCATGGCTATAGTACCTAGTGTAACTGGATTACATGCTTAATATGGAACAAATTTTGACTGGCCTTTACATAACTGCCCCATTTGGGGATATGGGGAGGTGTGTTCTAAACTTCCACTGTTGGTATCTGACATTTGTATTCATCTTTTCTTTTAAGCCAACTGATCTGGGAACTTGCTAATAGACTGCTGAAGGTAGCTAAGCTAGAATGCCAATTGAAGTTGGAGACATTACTCAACTAACTTATTACAAGACAGATGATTTATTTAAGTATGTTGTTTATTCTGCCACTTCACAACTTACAGATTGGTAAAGCACACCCACAACCAATAATATCACAATTAAGATAGGCCGCAAAAGAAGATACACCACAAACTAAAATCAAGGAGCAATGAAAACTCAGTGCACAAAACCTAGACCAACAGATTGCTCTCAGAATTAAATTACATCCACCATAGCCTCATAAATCTAAGCAACCTCTCAATTCCCTAAGAAAATTGACAGCTAGATCCTCACAAACCAGGAAGGAGATAGAGGATCAGATAGACTTCATATCAGTCATACTAAAGGCCTGCTGGAATAATGCTGCCCTGCAAAGCTTCTTAAATCTTGGCAGAGAAGTCTTTCTGCTCATCTTCTGTGGTGAGCTATTCCTTAAAGTGGGGGCAGTCATTGAAAAAGGGTAGCCCAAACAGAAGACATGGGGACCTCTTGGAATGAGAACTAATAGAAGGTGACCTGGTGCCATAAAAACTGTTGTGCATGCATGTATCGGGAGAGGTATGTAGGTCCCAGATCATTAAACGGCTTTATAGATTAAAACCAGCACCTTGAACTGAGCCCAAAAGCAAACTGGAAGCTAGTGCAGTTGTCAATAGCAGTAGTGTTACAGGGACTTAATGTTCCTCATCAACTAAAAGGTGTACTGCCACATTTTGTACTGGTTGTCTTCAATAACAGCTCAGTATAATTAGGTGCCATCAAATCTCAGCTGATTTATGGTGATCCTTCATGAGGATTTCAAGGCAAGAGATGAGCAGAGGTGGTTTGCCATTGCCTTTATGGCAGCCAGCATACAGTTGTTACAGGAGAAACCAAGTTCTTTCCCTGTTCATCTAGAAGATAGATTCTGACAGTTACTTGATAGCTTGCCATATTTTGGATTAGATTCTTTCAGCTGCATTTTAGATAAAACAGGCAGATTATCTTTTGCTTATCCTTGGAGAAAATCCAGTAAAATATTTATATATTGCCCAAAGACCAGTAGCTTTCTTCTGAGCCCCTCATTTACTAAATTCTGCAGAGGCATGTTGTTTTTCTTAAACTGTTCAGAAGACTGGTTGGAGACATTCGTCCAGCCATCCCAAACTGTAATCTCTACCATTGTCTTTTGCTTGGATGTATTATATGGCCATTGATAGCCTGCACAATGCACTGGCTAAAGAACTTCTTACTGGCATCTTCACTGGCCCAGATTTCTGGCCTCCTTGTAAGGCAACAGTAGCAAATGGGTTCCTAAATGTGTATACATGAAGCAATCACATATTATGATTAGTACAGGTGTATGCACTGAGGAGATTGATTCTTCAAAGTGATGCAAGGGCCTGAATTAATTCATTAAATTTGAAAATAATAGATTCATTTCCTTAAGCCTGTATTCTTACTTTTAATAGGTGGTGGTGATAGTTTATTTTGTAGAACAGAAAATACTTTTTTATCCTATAATGATCTTTAGCAACAGTATGAGTAAACTGAGTTCCAGCGGGGCTAATTAGTGACTGTGTCATTCATCATTTTTCTTGGCCCACGGCTTCGGTAGTGATAACAGGAGAACCTGTTAAATGGATCAACCTGTTGTT